CAGAGTGAGAATGAGCGAGAGGAAGGAGCACAGGAGGGCAGAGGAGGAATGAGAGGAGGAAATGAAGGAGCAGGGATGAGGAAGGGAGGGGGGCAGCTCTTCTCTGAGGAACACTGGCACATGTGTCTCGGCCTGACAGATGATCAAACCCACACCAGGCTGGTTTCGGAACATAAACACACACGACTAGGTCTTTATGATAAGTGTTTAAAGGCGGATTAAATTTATCACAGTGCTGAAGTTGAGTGGAGAAGACAAAACACTCAGAGGAATGTTTGTGTGCAGCGCTGCATGATTATCAGTCCAGTCAGACTGCTGCTGATAAGATTTTGTCAAAGTAACAGGTTGGTGTTAAAAACTTAAAAAAAAAGGATTTATAGAGAGTTCAAAAGGTCACCCACTGGCCCCGGTCAACTTAACCTCTGCCTCACCCATGGAACTCACCCATCTCCTTCAGACTCCTCTTCTATCAGTTATATCTGAGCTTTAACATGAGGTGAAATCTCCAACTTTTAACTCCTACAAAAAATGGATTCATACTCCTGACACTGACACACAATGATGTGATAAATGGCTGGTGATGTGAGAAAGCTACTCCCAGTGAGGTAAACACAGTAAGTTTGTAAGTTCATGATTGTTTTCTCCATTGCTTTCAGCAATAAAATCTTGTCTAAAGATTTGTCCAGATCTAAGGTAGGCCTGATCCCAGAGAGAAGTGCCAACGCGTGCAGAGTCGACTGTCCTGTAAACCTCAGAGTGAACCTCAAAGTCTGACCCTCGCAGGTCTCTTTCCTGCCTCTTCTCTGAGGAACAAACAGCTTGTAATCAGTTAGAGTTGTAAACAGTGATTTTCCAAGTCTCTGACGTTGGGGTCACCAGCCAAGAAAAGGTTGGGAACCACTGATTTAAAAGTGATTCAAAGGTTTTTGAAGAAAGGTCTGAACATGCTGCTCAATGTGCATGACCTTCACGTTCATATATATTTACAAGGACCATAATTATACCTAAATGTGTCTAGTGGAGAAAATAGTGAAGACACTGAAATATCGTCTTCGTCCATTTTCCTGAAAAAAGGTTCACACGCCTGGTCAAAAAGATAGATTTGGTGTTTATAGCATTGTAGAAGCAGTGTCACTTCCTTTGATAATGGCTTTTTATTTGTCTTTAGCGATAAGGATTTTTTTGTGTGGTTCAATTCCGCATCAATTCCAGTTAATCAAATATGTACCTTCATACAGTGTTCCTCTGTTGTAGACAGCTTTATGGGCCGTGGACTGACTGTCTGACCGACTGTTTGAAAGAGACAGCAGGTGGGAAGAGTCAACATTATTACTTTTATCTCATGTGGAGCTTCTGATTGCAGCATCACACTGTGTTTGTTCTCAAAGAAACAGTGACAACTTCTGCTTTGTGTACACTCATCACCACCACCCTCCACCCTCCAGCCTCCACCTCTGCTGGTCATATTTCACAGCCACATTCAGATTCTTACAGCAGCCATCAATCACGGGTCACGCTCTAAGTTTCTCTCTCCAACATCACAGGTTGTGTCTTCTTCCCACGGACACTAGAACAAATCCAGAAAGAGCAACAATAGCAGAAGTAACCATGATCAGACATGAAGTTACATGAAGCACATATTCCCAGGCTGATTTGACTTCAGGTCTGCCAAGAACACCAGGAATCACCAGGCATTAATGGGACACAGCAGTAGCATTCACATGGGAGAAAATGTCTTCTAACAGCAAACTTCAGTGAACTGCCAGATAATACAGCATTTATAGTGGTAGTGAACTGCACTACCACTGCAGCACATACACGCTGAGATAAAAAGAGAACTGCTCTTTTATTGCGCACTAGATGGCCTTACTTCTCAAGGTAAACTAAACAAAACAACACAGAGAAAAAATGTGCCACTTTCCTCTGAGGTCATTCTGGAGAATGTAATGGACCATATTTTACAGATGGTACAGAACAGATAAGATAAAACTCATTTGCATTTACATGTGAGTTCCATCATTTTTATAGTTTACTGATAAGAGATCAGTTCCATAGAAACTATTCCAAACCAATTCTATCCCCAATTGTTTTTACTCCTCTCTGACAGTAATCTGAATATCTCTGGTCTGTGGACGAAAAACAAAACATTCGAGGACACAATTACCCTGAGGTTGAGGAAACAGGGCTCAAGTATTTCCAGTTTTTGTGGACCAAAATGTGGAGTCAAGAGAAAGTTGTCCAAATAATTGACTATGAAAATAACTGCTGTTTATAGAGATTTCTTGCTGGCCTCACATTTTAAAGGCTTACAGTAGTTATTTGAACTGACGCTGTGGTGAGAAAGTGAATAAGTGAAACATTATTTTCACTGACGTCTCTTCCTCTCTTTGCTGTAGTTACACGACAAAGTGTGGACAATACTCGGGTGAGATATTTCAGTGATTTTTATCCTGTGCCATCTTGGAATAAAGACATAATAATTGTAAACCAAGCAAACAGCAGGTTTAAGGTGTTATTAACAACAGGATACAGTTGGTAAACCTGTTGTTTTTAGCGTTTGTACAGCTCCATTTCTAACCTGCTGTTAACGTGTTCTAGTTCCTGGTTCAGGAGCTTCAGTCCTGTTGTTCCACATGCACTAAGACTCATTTTAAATATATTCCACATCAATTCTTTACAGCAGCAGTTTTACAAACAATAAATCAAACGTCAGGAGGGAATTACAACATGAAGTCCTTTTACAGCTACACACAAATTAAGTGTAATCTAAAGTAGTGCAACATAGTGCATCAAAAGTTCATTTAAAAAAATTCTTAACCCAACATGTGAGAAAGTGAAGGGGTTAAGTGGCGCACGGGGAAGAAAGAAAAGCAGTGAAACACTGCAGCGTGCCTTTTCAAAACAAAACCAGTTCGCAGCAGCATTAAATTAAACCCAATTGGGAAAGAAAAAGCTCAAACCGTACAACCGGGAAAAGACACTTTAAAGAACACGGATATAAATTGAAATTCCCATCACCTCCCGGAGCTGTGGGGCTAAGATTGCTTTCTAACTGTTAGCAGGCTGCGGTTGGCTCAGCAGTAAACCAGTGTTTTACTGTATCCCCTGGGCATTGTTAGGGACTGGACGACTGTAAGAACTTAACATACTCTCCATTTTTCCGGAGCCAATCCTAATGCACTAGCACATGTTAGTGCTGTTACAGTCACTGGACTAGTTGTGCTACTACACTGTGACAAACAAACGGACAGAAACACAGCTTTTTAATGTTTCCTCC